GCCTATCTAAGCTTAATTCTACACACAGAGCACATACAAAGAGTTATTTTTTAAAATACATTATAGATCTTTTTTTAAAAACTTGGAACCGTTTGTATTTTTGGGGTGTGCATTTGGACAAGCAGCAGCGATTTCCGTCGTGGCGATCTCTTTGAGGACAGCGGACACGTAGATCTAAGTCAAATCACATGTATGTCAGACCACACGTATGTTAGATTACACGTATGTCAGATTACACGTATGTCACACGTATGTCCAATTACACGTATGTCAGATTACATGTATGTCACACGTATGTCAGATCACGCATATGTCAGATTACATGTATATCACACGTATGTCAGATCACACGTATGTCAGATCACACGTATGTCACACGTATGTCAGATCACACATATGTCAGATCACACATATGTCAGATCACACGTATGTCAGATCACACATAATATGTCAGATCACGCATATGTCAGCTCACACATATGTCAGATCACACATATTATGCCAGGTCACACATAGAAAAGAGGGAACAAACGCCACCAGAGCACCCGCCAACCACCCACCAGCACGCCGTATACATGCACTTTAAAGACATTCCAGAATAAGTATCTTGTTACTTGCACAGTGTGCACAGCATCAAAGCGCAACAGAATTTCTATTTCTGTTTTCTGTGTCTTTTGAGCTTGGTTTTTATTTTGTACGAGTTTTACGGCACTTGCAACACAATAAGGTCATATAAGTGCCGAAGAATAGATGTGTTACAAGAGAGTACATGTAACATACACAAAAAAGAAGGAGGAGAGAGAGGAGAGATATAAGGATATAAGGACGATAGATGTTTGATAGGAAGGAAGGGAGAAACCCCACCAGAGCACCTACCTACCACCCACTTTCTGCTGTATCTGACTCTAAAGATTTTAAAAAGCAGACACAGCATGCAAAGTACGGTACTATGCCGAATGAAAATGTGTGTATTTGATTTGTGTATGATATGGTTGAAAATATGCCGCAACTTTACCTTTGGCTTGCAACTGATCTGACATACCTGTGCCCGTCACATCCTTAAAAAGATAACGGCGTGATGCAGATCGTTCCTGCTTGTCTGAATTAATACAAGCTGTTCCAAGCTGGGTTTAATTTTTACATTTTGTAAAAAAAAAAAAAAAAAAGCGTTCGCATGTGCTCCACGTACCGAGTTCAACTGTAGTTATATTTTCTGTTTTCAGTCGTCTGTTTTTTTTATATTAATTTCAAACTTATTACTTGTTTTACAATATTATGTACAGCTAAGCTTATGATTTAACTTCCTGAAACAGAACAGGAACGACAAACACACACACACACACACACACACACACACACACACACACACACACGCACACACACGCACACACGCACACTGCAGTGATTCCGGCCTCTCCTCTACCCCTTTGAGCTTTGCCCTGGTACCAGGAGAGTGTCCCTGGGACACGATGCCAGGCTTGTCTTACTTCTGTAAGGACACATATAGAGGACACGTAATAGGCTATTGATAATCCCACATCAGTGGCAAACAAAAGCTAACGGTGCCGCACATTTCCAACTGACACACGAGTCAGAAACACTTTTAATAAGTATTATCTTATCTATAAATCTTAATTCGGTATGTTTACGATACCTCACAGAATGCATAATATTGTTGCCCATAAGTTTCAGATTTAAAAAAAAGTGAAATTAAATAGTCTGAATGGATAATACAATCGTGCTTCTTATTTATTTTGTTTTTGTTTTGTTTTGTTTTTTGTTTTTTTTATAATGCCCCACTAACAGCGCCTTTTCAAGCGTTGTCGAACGATCAGAATATTCGTGCTTTATGAGTTAAATCTTCACAAAGAGGGGGAGGGGTGGGGTGCAGTTACATATAGAAGGTTTTGTTTGTCTTCTTACTTTTCCTGTCAACAGAACAGCAGGAACCGTCAACTCTTCTTTTCGGGTCACATAGGCCTAACTCATCTCAATAATTAATACAAATTTGTTAAAAATGTATGTTACGTTACAGTATGTATCCCAACCAAATTTTCCGTACCCCCCCCCCCCCTTAAGAGTTTGAACGGGATGTTTCTGCTGATAAGCGTGTCTGCTTCAACACCACGCGAGATCTATCTAGGCCTCGACCATTCAGTTTTGCCTAGCAGGCGCGTCGGGTTGCACACACACAGACAACAACGAGGAAGTCAAATAGATTACAATAATAAGTATGAAATTTCCCAAGAGCAACGAACGCCATCCAAGTTTGAAAACTTGAAAACAAGACAAAAATAGAACAAGTACGGAACAGGAACAAAGATTTTAGATTACAGCGAATACTTTAAAAAAAAAAAAAAAAGAAGATTGAATTGTATACTAGAATAAGCACCCTTACATAATTCAAATCACAGTGGGGCGCAGGCCTGTCGAAAGGGGGGGGGGGGGGGTCAGGGGGGACTAATGCCCCGGGGCCCGGGGGTTTGGGGGGACCCGCAAGCAAGGGGAAAAGAGAGAGAAAAAAAAAAGAGAGAGAGAGAGAGAGAGAGAGAGAGAGAGAGAGAGAGAGAGAGAGAGAGAGAGAGAGAGAGAGAGAACCGTACAAGGCTTTGAAATAAAATATATTTTGGCTGCAAGTTGAGCTGTATATTATCTTTCTTTTCTTTTTTTTTTTTTTGGTAAGTGTTTTACGGCACTCACAACTGCATAAGGTCATATGAGCGCGCGGGACACATCTAATACTTTTAGTTGGTAGGAAATTTTGAATTTTGCCCG